AACTTCTGTTATGAATTGGCGTTATACAAATAAAACTGAATTAATGTGAATTGAATTGAACTCTGACACATCACCACAGCAACATATCGCCATGCGTGTTTCAATCTGTCCGTCTGTCCACGTCTCCCGTCTGAATCCATGTGAATGCATCAGAAATGTCTCAGCTTGTAAAGACTTTAATGTGTAAATCTGTTGCTAGGAAACGTTTGTCGCTCTGTCCAATCAGGATCAATCATCTATGTAAACAGGAAGTCACTGCAGCATCACAAGCTAGCATCACTTACAAAAACTACAGTTTTACAGGCTCAAAAGATAAATCTTTGTAAATGTAGTTTTATTTCTATCTGCATACAGTTTATAATGAGAGGGAAATACGTCCTTATGCTAAGCTAACTGACGTTCATAATGTGAGGTATGTTGTGTTATTTTAGTGAAATGTTTTAGGTCATATACGTCGGCTCAGATATTAGCATGCTAACGTTAGCTTTGTTTTCATTTAATAAACTTAGTAAACACTAACACACAAGGCAAAGTTAGCACAAGGCCAAAGTTAGAACTGAAGAACAAAAGGTTCAGTGGACGTTTATCTGCTCATTATTCAGTACTGTGACAGAACAAGGTCTCATTAAATAACCACATTTTATCCACTTGTTCCTCTAAAGCTGTGACACAAAATAATAATAGTAATAATCATAATGTTATAAAAATTAAAGAAGAAATGAGAGAATAAAGTATAACATGTTTTGTACACTTAAGAGACAAATTTTCTAATATTTATGATTTTTATTTTATTTTATTGACATAAATAATCAAACTGTTCTCTGAATTTAACAGATGTCAGTGTTGGTTATTGTGTTTGACGTGAAGGTCCTGGTTTATTGAGATGAACTTTATAAATTATAATAAATAAATAAATGAATTACATATAACGATGAGAAGATGTTTAAACTTCCTGTGAGAATCAGGCCTAAAATATAAATTCAGACTATTGTAATGAAACTTTTCAGCTCCTCTGTCGCCAAACCCGACCAATCAGCACGCAGAGGAGAGGCCCCGCCTGCTGAAGGTGTGGACAGGTGTGCCACGGGTTAGGGATGCTCCAGTCAGGATGTTTATACCGATTATTGAGCCAATGATCACTGTTTGGATCTAACAAGATCAATTGGCCTCTCTGATATTTTAACATTTCACCCAGTAAAGGAAATGACATCAGAGCTGATTAGCACGTCTTTCTGTGGTCGGTTGTTATCGGGATGAGAAGCTGCTGCTGATTCAGTCTCACTCTGTTAGCTTGAATGCTGTAAGCATCTAGCATGTTAACCTAATCCTAAAGACACTTCCTGTCTCGTCCGACCAGCCACAACGACGTTGATGTTGTCCGCGTGCTCATAAAGTTCTTAAAACTACGAAACAAACCAAACAGTAAATGTTCTGTTAGAGGACAGTAGTTTTGACTTGATACCACTGAACTCGACTGTTCTTTGTTAGCATAAACTGCAGTAAACTACGTTAGCAAGTTGTGCTAACCAGATACATAGAAACCATAGTGAAGGAAGCGTTTTGTATTTAACACCACAGACACCAGTTACACTACAAAGTGACATAGGCTGTGTCTCATTCCGCCTA